ACATATCAATAAAATCTACACAAAATTCTCTATCTTTTAGCATCAGAACCAAACCTTCTGGTCGAGTCTAATTTGAGAAAAAAGCCTATCAAAAACCGGCAATTTCCTCTGCCGTACCCGTTACTATGTTTCATTAAAAACGTAAAAAAATTAAAAAGCATCAATATAAAAGAATACAGAGGTTTGTTAAAACTTCATATAGCTCGCTGCCATTTTTCAGATAATAGTAACGTTGACAGACTTGATTAAAAGTGATTTATTTCGACAAGCGTTCGATCTAGTAGCGCTCACACATAAATGTTGCCACTAGCTGCAATAAGCCTTATCAGCTTTTCAAAGCATCGGAGAAATCTCGAGTAGATAAGGAGTTACTCTCTCAGTCATGTGACGGCAATGTTATGAAAGAATGTTTTTACTAAGCATATTTTTGCAGCGTCTTCACCTGAACCTAAAACTCAAGCGCGAGAAGACTTCATATTCAAATGGTAGGGTTACAAGAGAACGCTTTGTTCGCAAAGTCGTAAGAACTACATACATTAAACTTTGATGTTTTATTCGAGGGAAGCAAGTTAAGGTAATGTGCATTTTAGTGATATCTAGTTATATACTCAAAAAGACACAGATATCTGACTTCTAGTTCAGAAAAAATGTACTTTCTCGGGAACAAAAAAGAATTTTAAGAAAAGTGAGTTATACTTTTGTTGTACGTTGTTAGGCGGTTTTAATGGCGCAAGAATCAAGTTCCTATCTCTTTCCAAAAATTGATACTTAGCTATACCTCAAATCAGCTCACATGAAAAGGTGCGCTGACAAGGGTCAAACTAACGAGGAAAGGACACTAACTGGCAAATCGCTTTTGGCCTAAAACTAAGTGGAAAATAGGTTATCGACTATGCTGATTCTGAATATGACAATGATTTGGGCTGATAGGCCTTTGGAGACCGGGTTCCTGGAAACCTGGTTTTCCAAGGCAAAAGTTTTATCGTTTCTAAAAAATTTTCCGACTCGGCCAGATGAAAGAGCATTTCGCGAAAGCTATAAAAAACATATTTTCAAAATTTTCCGAAGGTTTTTCGACAGTTTTCGTAACACTTTCCAGAAAAATCCAAGGTTCAGGCTCCAAAAGTGTCTGAAAACCTTCGGAAAATTTTGAAAACATGTTTTTTATTCCCCACAACAAGTAAAGAGTTATCACTCACCCTTAAGATTGTTGACACTTCCGTCGGCCGAACAAGAATCTAATGCAAATCGTGCTAAATCTAAAAATAATCAATTGCGTAGTGCACTTAATTCAGGATTAGAGGAGTATACGTTTGCTTTACATAAGTTTCAAAAAACTATGCAGCAAGAAAACAGTTATTCACAAATAATTGCTGTTGATCAAATTCATAATGAAGCGTGGCTATTGCAGTATGAAGTATATCGTAATGGATTATTTGAACAATTAAAAAAAGATACCGAACACTTCTTATTCCATGGATGTGCAGATGCCTCTGTTGACAATATAATCAAACGAGGTTTTGATCGAAATCATGCTGGTGAAATTCATGGTAAGTTATACCTCTCAAGTTGGAAAACAGTTTTGACTAATTTCTTTTAACTTATCAGGTACAAGTTACGGTCGAGGTGTCTATTTTTCAAGTAGTGCACGTGAAAGTCATAAATATACGAAACCGAACCAAAGTCATGAAAGTCATGAACGATTGTTATAAAAAAAACATTAAATTATTAAAAAATACATTTTACTATAAAAAGCATAAAAACAACTGATGTGGCAGACTAAATTGTCAACTTTTACAAGGTTTTTCCCAAGTTAAGCTTGGTCAGAAAATATTATTTTCATACTGAAAGCTAAAATTTTGTATAGATGTTAATTACATTTTTTTTCAAATAAGCATTTGCCGCTTTTGTAGAAATACGAGTATTAGAACTATATGGATGCAACGGTAACGGTTGACAACCGGTTTAACGGTTACCGGTTCTGACCGGTTACCATTACCGATCCAACTGGTTCTGTGAGTGATGCGAGTTCTTAAGTTAGTCTGAGTACACTAATTGTTTCATGTTAAAAAGTGTTTTTCTTCAACGTTATGTTGATTAACAGAGACTTGTGATTGAAGAAACATTTCTTTTGTTTTGAATTGTGTAGTAAATATTTCTTTTGTTTTCCAAGTTTATTGTTTTACATGTTGACTATTTTATGAAGCAAATTCTTGGTATACAAGCAATAATTTGCTCTCCAAGAAGAAGTGATTCAAGAAAACATCTAATAAAAAATTTTGCATATCATCGATAAAAAAAACTTAAAGTTTAAAGTTAAAGAAAAGTGCTTTTTCATATTCAGCACACTTGATAACCTGAAAAATTCTCTATTTGTAGCGATGGGTACCGCGAAAAAGTTAAGAAAAATTTTCAAAATTGTATAATTTTACCATGGAGATTTTTCTGCGTCAATTTGATTGAAAATTTTTAGAACTTTTTGACGGTACCCCTCGCTAAAAATAGAAAATTCTCCAGGTTATCAAGTGTGCTGAATACGAAAAAGCACTTTTCTTTAACTCTAAACAAACTTTAATTTTTTGTCAGTGATATGTATCAAAGAAGAAGGGGCAAAAAATAATATGCACATGTACAACTCCGACCGTACCTTTTGCAATCGTCGCGGGTTGAAACCGGTAACGGTAACCAGTCAGAACCGATTGGACCAGTAACGGTTACCGATTAGAAACCAGAAGTAGTTGCTGAACGTATGCGTGAACTAAAAAAAATGGAAAATGTCATTTTTCGACTGAGGAATTTCTTAAATCGAGTCAAGTTCGGTCATCCTTTTCTAGGCTCAGTTCAAAAAGAATTTGCCGGTAGTTGATGAACAAAACGGCGACGATGAGCAAGAATGTTACGAAAAAGACGGAGAAGCCCAGGCAAAAGAGCTGATTAGTAGTATTAAGAAAGTTTTGGCAGGTAAACACAAGCCGCCTTTGGACTCTCCAGAAAGTTTGACGCGAGAAGCTTCGACGTCGAATCCTCAGCTGAATACATCGAAACGGTCCTATTTACGAAGTAGCAAAAAGTGATAGAAAGCAGTTGACCGACCGGCTTGGATTGACCGGCAACAGTTCATGTTTTCAGTTTCTGTTTTCCTTCGTTGTGCGCTAGTTAATTTCGGTTTCGGTTTGCATTTGCAAGCTAGGTACGCGGCCAAGATCTTGCTTTTTCTTTTTTTGCCTTATTGGACTTATTTCTAACTCTGCTCATACTGAGCTCGACCTGCCGCTCACATTGAGTTTTTACGGGCATGAGAGCGGTATATTATCTTAAACTAACTAACACGTGAATAAAAAAACTACCTTTCTCTTTGTAGGATGACCTCTTCTTGGTGAGAAAGATCAACGCGTGAGAATGCCCGCGGCTAACAATTCTACAAAATTTCAAAAATCGTTCGCATTGCTTCACTTCCGGCTGGAAGAAAGTAAAAACTACACGGACTAAACTGTTTGTTTTTCAATCAATTTAGTTCGGAGGTGGATGTCGTTAGAAATCAGCCATATTTGATAACACCAAAGAGTCATCTAGGGCAGAAGAAAATTTACAGAATATAGATAGTCTATCATGGTGAATCGGTTAGTGATGCTTCCAGGACCCTTGGCATCTTCATAGGGTGCCCAGAGAACGTTTTACCTTGACATAAGATAGTGTACTATGAGAGAAGTTCATAATATTTCTCAGGTACTCCGGTTGCGAACGCCGACCGAAGGAAGGTATGAGCATTGTCTTCAATTTAGAAATAGTACTAGACCTCTTAGGATCTTTGGAGGGTCTCGTGAAAATCTTTTAGCATTACATTATATTAGGAAGCTTACACATCAAATCAGAGAAAAATTCACAGCATATTTTAGATAGTTCGCCCACTGTGTTAGGGCGTAGACAGAAGTTAATAGCAGGCAGACAAACGTATACGTCAAGACATAATACGAGTGATTAGAAATAAGAATTTAAGAATTGAGAATGTGCCTCATTTATCTCTTGCCTTGCAAGAACAACGATGATCGTCAGAACTGTCGTAGTACTAGCCTGCTGCTGCTCGTTGAGAATGTTCTTCAGATCGCAATTTGAACAAGAAAGATAATTATTTTATTCTGTAGAAATAATTTGATAATGGCAATTCCTTTCCAGTCCAGGGATAAGTGAATCAGAATGATGAGCACTCCTGTGATTTTACGTCAAAAAAATATTGACTAAATCAGCTGCAATTCTTTTCAGCTTTATACTGGTTACACTTCTGCCATTTTAACTACATTGATTGAAAATATGGTAGACACGTCGACGCTGAATAGGAAGAGGAAGATGATGCTGGTAATGGTTGTGGTTAAAGTGCGTATGCTAAATGCCATGATAATTTTCATTTACCTTTTTTGCCTCTTGATTCTTCATAGTCCAATCAATGTAGATTAAAACGCTCTTGTTGTCGATATTGTTTAAAACTTGATAAACATCCGAAATTAGTTGTTGTTGTTCAAAAAATGAAGGAAGTTGTTAAGGCGCTACCTTCGAGCACTATTTCATTTTTGGCTTTCTCATACACCATTAGAAAGCCCGGATCGAGGGTCCGGGAGCCGAATGGTCAAGAAAAACTTACGAGGAAAGGACACTAACTGGCAAATCGCTTTTGGCCTAAAACTAAGTGGAAAATAGGTTATCGACTATGCTGATTCTGAATATGACAATGATTTGGGCTGATAGGCCTTTGGAGACCGGGTTCCT